GAGGAATGGCGGAGGAGCTTCTTGATTTCAAGTCCAGTCACAGGTTATCGCAAATTATTGGAAGCTTTCCAAATTAAAACTTTTGATTGATTTTCTAAACTACTTTTTGGAAAAGAAAGTAAATTAAATTGTGCAAATACTAATGATGGCTCAAAAATAGACTAAAGGAAAAAATATAATATTGAACTTAAATGGATTGATGCAAATAAGGGCAATGAATTGAGTAATTAGAAATGGATATATTCTTGGACCTAGTAATTAGGGAAATTAAAACTAAAATTGGACTAATAATTTCTTTCCTCATAGACAAGAATAGAAACTATTTTCATTAATTTATCCTATTTATAGGTGTCATTAATGTGTTCAAAATGGTTGGCTTGAATTAAATTCTAACCTCATAGACAAGGTAGAAATAATTCTCCAATATTTTAATTAATAAAAATAGCCAAATTCATTAACTAGTTAAACTCATTATTTAAGCAATTGAATTTATCTCTCATAGACAAGATGTAAATCCCTTTCATTAAATTATCCTATTTCTAGGCCTTATTAATGTGCTTGAATATGGTTGGCTTAAATTATTTTCTAATCTCATAGACAAGTTAGAAATAATTTTCCAAGAATTTAATTAATGAATATGGCTAACAATTATTAATTACTATTTCATCATTTCAAACAACTAGTCCAAATTATGAATTTTAATCCCTAATTTTCGGTCAACAAGTTAATCCATATTCCTTTAGTCAATTCATGCCCAAAACAAATTTAGCTAATAAACATCATTTTTTCATTTAACAATACAATGAATAAATTCAACATTAACAAGGAATTAAGCATGTACAAAAATAATATTTTGCCAAAATAAACTTGTAGAACTAAAATATCACCTTCTGGAATTTTTCCCGAATTTTATAACCTAAAATCCAATTTTAACAACTAATTGATAATTTTCCCAATATTAACTAGCAAATACAAAAAAAGGCAACTACAAATATTCTAAATTCGTTCTAAATTTTATATTGACTACTAGGAGTGATATTACTGTGAATTAAATTGGAATTAGGACAGAAACTAATTTTTTGCCTTTTTTGAGTATTTAATTTAATTTATGCAATAATAACAACTAAATGCCGGAATTAATTAAAATTTACTTCTACTTCGTAAAAATTAACTTTGTTTTGATAAATAACTACCTTGAAGCTAGTAAACAACTATATAATTAATTGGAATGGATTTAATGTCAACAACTATTTTATTCAAATTTAAGAAGAAAATGCGAAATAGTGGAATAATTTTCTGGAAATTTTAGAAGCACAGATAGAAAAAACTAAGTACAGATTCAGATTCTACTCATTGAAAGGATGAAAATACATATAAAGAACTCACAATTTGGAGCTAAAATGAGAAAGATATGAAAGATTGAAGTTGAAGGTGCAACAATGGTGAAAATCCGAGCTTTGAGGAGGAAGAAGACGCTCTTTTTGATCTGATTTGGGCTTGAAATTGGTGTGTTTGAGATGGGGAAAAAGCCTGCTATTTATAGCAGAAATTTCACCGAAGGCGCCCAAGAAGGCGGCCGCCTTCCGTCGGAATCTGGCCGCCTTCCGTAGGCGGCCAACCAGGCGGCCGCCTTTGGTCTCATTTTGGCCGCCTTCCGTCCCGTCGCCGACAGCGGATCGTGGCCGGTCTCGTCAGCCGTAGGCGGCCACAGAGGGCGGCCGCCTTCCGTCACAAATGGCCGCCTGCCGTCTTTTCGTTGGCAGATCGGATCCCGGCGGATCCCGGCGGATCCCGGCCGCCGCAGGCGGTCCAACAGGCGGCCGCCTGCCGTCCTGTCTGGCCGCCTGCCGTCCTGTCTGGCCGACCGGTGGTTGGTTTTGTCCCCTTGTGCCGCAGGCGGCCACCGTAGGCGGCCGCCTTCTGCCCAGTGTCGGCAGCCTTCGGTCTTTTTCTGGTCTCGAGTCAAAGCGAGGTTGACTTCTGATTTTTCCCGTAGGCGGCCGCGAAGGCCTCCATTTTGGGCGCCTATTTGGGCGCCTTCTGCCACTTTTGTCTGGCAGATGCGGCTTTTCCTGCTCTTCATTTTTGTCTTCTGAATCACCTTGATAAAATGCTTGCTTCTTCCGGTATAAATGTATTTGTCACTCAAATTGACTCATTTTGTGCTCAATTGACCCGAAATCCCGCTAAACATATTATGGATGTGATTTTTACCTGATTTCATGAAACTTGAACCAAAATATATAAAATGTGTCTTTTCTTTCTATTTTCATTCAAAAATCGCTTAAATTTGATAAGAAAAATAAGTACAAAAATGGACTTATCAGTAGGGGATGGCGGGCTACGAGATACGGTAATGGGCGACCGGTCCGGGCCGATTTTTTTTTTTTTTTTTTTTTTTTTTTGGCTTTGCTCTTCAACTAGGTGAGTGGAGCATGGTGGTTTGGGGGGTGGGGGATTTGTGGGGGGGGGGGGGGGGTAAGAATTAATATGAAAAGTATTTAAAAAAAAGAGCCGACTTGACCCGACCCGAGCCCGGTCCATCACTACCTCCGTCCCAATATGAACTCCTGTTTTGACTTGGCACACATATTAGGAAAGTGAGAAATGTGTGGTCTAAAGTTATGCAGAAGAGAGAGAAAGTGGGGACGAATGTTGTGAACCACACATTCTTTGTAAAAAAAAGGTCAGAAATTTTGGGATGGAGGGTGTACCAAGTATATAAATTTTGGGTACAATAATTATATATTCGTAAGGAAAATACAATTATTCATGAAAGTGCATGCTTTCGCTAGGACATATATCATGTTCTTTTGTACTACCTTCGTTCTTAAATACATGCAACAGTCAACTTTCACGTTTGACAATACACAATTTTGACCATTAGTATATTGACTATATTCTCTTGTAGTAAAAAAAATTAAAAATTCAGATTTTGAAAATTTAGGATGAAACAAATTTAAAAATATATATTTTTAAAATGAACTATTAATACATGAATAAAGGAGTAATGGTCCCAAATAGGACTCCAACTTATGTGATGTACGTAAATAGGACTGGGTCTTTTTTTATACTTAGATAAGAGTTATTTTTCCGTCAGTTCCAAATTTACCCCTAGTGTCTTCAACTCTTTGCTTACTCTCTTTACGGATTCCTCCGAGGCCCTTCTACTCCAAATCCCAATCTGCGTCGGTACCAACATCTGAGAACTGAGATCAAATCTGAAGGAGAAAATGAGTAGTGAGTCGATGGTGAAGGGACGATGGACGACAGGGAGGAGGTGCAGGGCGGCGATGCGGTGGTGGTAGGGCATGCCCCACGGCTGCGGCGGCGGAATGACTAGATTGTACGGCTACTCGACGGCGATGGGATGGCGGCACGGCAGTGGCAGCTGCAGGCCCTTCTTCTCCTTCGTAGTTGCACGATCGCATCTAGCCGCCCCTGTACTCTCTGCAATTTGTTTATATGTTTTTTTTGGTCCTCTGCTCATAACCCTGTCGATTTTTTGGGTCCTTTGGTTTCAACTTTCTTCTTCTTTTCGAGATCTACTCGTATTTTCTTCATTTTCTTGCTTTGATATCCCTTTTCTCTTTAGATTTTATATTCTGTTGTTGTCTTTTGATTTCTTCTTTTTTCCTTTTTCTTTTACAATATCCCATATAAATTAGAATTTACTCATACTTAATATTCGTATTAAACACATACAGTGTAATTTATTAATTGTGATATTATTTGGTGTGGGAGTAATTATAATGCCAACATTTGACATTGTACGTTTCTTTTCCACTGCCCAACACCCAATGACATTAGTATTAACATTGCCATTATTATAATGTCATTATTTATAACATTGTTATTGACATTTCTACTATCATTATTTGGCACTGTGACGTTTTCTGATATTATAACACTTACCCTACATTTCGACAATGTTTACGATATTATGTCATTGTGTGTTATGACAAAGTTTGATGACATTGAGATATTATGTTAGTGTCATGTGGAATTGTAAATTTGTAATACAACATTGCATAATTACATTGTGACATTGTCAGTGACATTGCGATCATTGTGACATTGTCTCCCCCGATGACATTGATATTAGCACACTAAAGTCATTGATATCGATAGTATCATTATATGACATTGTCATGACATTGTTTTGTACAACTTTTTAGTTAGTGATATTAAATCGCATTGTTAATTTATTCAATGACTTGACAACGTCAATTTTTTATAAAATGGTATTGATTATATTATATATCTCAATGACGACAATGTCAATAACATTGTAATATCATTGACATTGTTATGCCATTGACATTGTTATGTCATTATATATTTAATTTTTGACAATGTCATTTGCAAAATGTCATGATAATGTCATTGTGCATAAACAATTCCAAACACAATGTCAATAATAATGTCAATGCCATTGTTATAACAATTTTATAAGACAATGGTTACAAAGGAATTTAATTAGCATAGTGACATTTCTATATATACTATCTCTGTCCCGAAGAAAATTGTCAAATTTAAATTAAATTTATAACAATTTCAAAATATTAATTATAATTAAATTGACATTATTACAATGTCATTATCTATAGCATTGACATTGTTATTATTTGATATTGTGACATTTTCTAACATGTGTCATTTTTTTTTTTACATTTTGACATTGTAATATGTTTTTACATTTTGACATATTTAAATTTTGACATTGTTATTATTTGATATTGTGACATTTATTATTTGATAATATTTAAAATATTCTGACATTATTTTTTGTGGGAATATTTATAATGACAATGTTTGAGATTGTGATATCACTTTAAAATTGTGACATTTTTCACAAATTGCTATTGTTTCACCATTTTGGTAGTGTCTATAGTTCCTTTTTTAATTAAGAAATCTGCATTCTCAATAAGAGAAACATTCTCAATAATAGAAAGAAAAACAAAGTCATCAGTGGTATTAATATCTATATGAAAATAATGGAGCTCCATTGACATATACTCAGTTGGCACTTCTCCTAGCCACAAATCAGTAAACGCTTTGAACACATAAGTGAAAATAATCGGGTCTACACAAGGAATCTCACAGCCATACATCAGCAAGCCCTTTGAACACACAGGTGAAAAGTTCTAAACAAAACAATAAACTGAAAAATTAACTCAATTTGAAAAAGGAAATTAGATAAAACAAAACGAAGAAGAAACATACACAAAAGGAAACAAATGCAAAAGGAATCGACGGGAAAAACAATAGATCGGCAGAACCGCGCGGAAGGAATGAATCTGGCAGAAGAAAGGAAAAAGACCACAGAAGAAGAAGACCCGGACGGCGAACACTCCGGTGACGGCCAACGGAAAAACACTCTGGCGAGTGGCGACGACAAAGGGACGGCCAGCGGAAGAACACTCTGGCGACGACAAACGGTGGACCAATCCAGTGACGAGCAATGACACACCGGAAGTGAAAACATCGCATCTCGAGTCGGCATCAAAATCAAGAGATGAGCAGCAGTACACTGGAAGGAAATGATACTCCCGCATATTCTCTAGAGACCTTTCTCTTCGCCAGGAGCTGCGTGGATCGGAGAGATTTCTGTGTTAGCCGCTTGGAATGCCTCATTTTAATTTAGGGTTGTTTTTGTCCTTCCGTTAAAAATGAGTCCTATTTAGGATTAAAAAAGTTGGGAGTCCTATTTACGTTCCTAGGCTTTGTTTTAGTCCTATTAAAGGTTTTTTCCCATGAATAAATACAACGTAGTCAAAGTAGATGTTGGGATATATTATCCCGGTCTGTTACTGTCCAGGAGCCCAATACATCGCCCCAGTATGAAGCCCGAATGACGAGGTCCATTTCAGTCTTTCGGGCCTATTTCGGCCCTTTGGGGCCATTTCGGCCCGCTTGGCCCATTAGGTTGGAGAGCAACCCTTCCCCTTCCCTCTAGAAATATGGGGCTCTCCCTCCATTATGGGGATCCCTTTTTGGCTTCTTCTTCCTCATCTCTAGATAGCTTTATTCTCCATTAATGAGAGCACAACTTGTACATTGTAATGGTGAGGAGAGATTAATAAGAAAGAGAGGGTTTGAACATTAGCCTTGTTGGGGTTTATTCCTTCAGCCTTTGGGTCCAACACGTAAGCCCAAAGGTTTCAAGTGGAGTGGTGTATGTGTGTATGAGTAAACTGGCCCAACAAGCAAATAAGATGGATTAAGATAATAAAGAAGCACTAAAGGATAGGGTATTATTAATGATGAATAGCGCCCCGATACAATACTTTTGCTAAGGCCGGAGACCGTTCGTCTTATCCTGCAGAAGAAGAGCTGCGAGTAATAAGGTAATAAGCTAGAGTGCGAGGAATAGTAAGTTGCCAACCCTTTACAATGAAATAAATGCTGCTATTTATACCACCAATGGGCAGTTGGCTATGCTGACGTGGAAGGCTGCGAGTGGCTGGTGCCTCAACCACCAAATCTTCAGCATTAAATGCTAAAGGTTTCCCACCTAATTGTGGGGACGGACGTCCAGTTGGGCCGGGGGCCTGCTCCTGGTGACACTGCTAAAGGTTGTGGGCCGTCCGTACTCTGGCCCTTTAGAGAATTTGTCATATAGATTGGATTGGGCATCATGTGGCTGCGGCTCTTGGTGGCGACGTTCGTCGCCACGATGTTTGTCCGCGGGCTTGATCCACCGTTATCCTGTCTGGACGTTCGTCAGGGTGGGCTGCCTTGTTGGGCTGGACGCTCGTCCAAATGAGGGGGTGAATGGGCTGATCCTCCATTTGGGCCATTTACCCAACACAAGTCCCCCACTTCTGATGTTCCAAGCATGCGCGGGACATAAGGAAGTATAACTGTTTTTTGGTGAGACGTTCCTGATGTGGGGTTACCCTCTGCCCGAGTTTTCGAGATGGACGTACCTCACCGTGGTGTTTCTTGATTAGCGACGGTCCAGGAATCGAGGTGACGGCTGCCGCAGAAACGGTGTGTTTCTCGAGGAAAGGTCATCATTAAGCCCATTACTCCACGCGCGACGCGTACCCCGGGGTACGCTCCTCATCACGCGTCACCTCCTTATTGGTTTTATGTAACAGTGCTCCCCTTATAAATACTAGAAACTCCCAGAGGCTTAGGGTTCCCGAATTTCGCTTTCTCGCTTTAGAGTCTCCGCCGCTCTACAATCAGCTCGTCGATAAGGTTCCCAACTTGCTCCCGCTGTTCCCAAGGTAATTTTGATTTTATTTCCCTTCTTGTAATCCCTTTCGGCTCTTCAAATGGCTTCGATGGAGATTTCGTCAAGTTCTGGTTCGGGCTCTTCTTCCGGCTCCTCTTCTGGCTCTAAGTCTGGCTCCCGTTCTTCTGAGGGCGCTAGTACCTCCGGCCGCTTTGGTTCTTCACCCGTTGTGGGGTCAGTTGCTCGGGACGATGCCCCTGATATATCTACTTCCGTGAGTGCCACTTCGACTGACACAATCCAGGATGACGCCACTTCTGGGGGGAAATGGGGGCAACGTCCCCCAAGAGGGCGCAGTCCAGATGGTTATAGAAAACGTAGCCGCCGACGATGAGCGTCCAGAAGGTTATGATTCGGGCAATGAAGCCGTTGATGGGTCTGATGTAGAGGTGTTTGATTTGGGCCTCACGGTTGATATGGAGCGTCACCTCTGTCCCATAAAGAACGCGATTGGGCATGAACAATTCTTCTCGGACCCAGCCCTCAAGGAGCTTAGTATCTACTTTCCCCCTCCATTCGTCTACAGCCTCCGAGGTGCAACCCATGTGATGAGGAGACGCCCGGGAATGGTTATGGTGCACTTTGATTCTATCATAGTCGGACTGCGATTCCCACTTTACCCCTTCTATATCGAGTTTTTTAGTTGTTTCCAAGTGGCCCTTGCGCAGTTCATGCCCAACTCCTATCGCTTCATCTCGTCGTTCCTTGTTCGCTGTAAAGCTGCGGGAGTGACCGCGACTCTGGAGTTGTTCCATTATTTCTTCCGGCTCACCCCCCAAAATTCTGATGGGTATCTGAGCATAGCCGTATGTCCCAAGCGGAGGCTCTTTGAGGGGGTGCCGACGTCCATCCATGAGTGGAAGAACAAGTACTTCTTCGTCCGTTATGCGGACGCTCGTCTGCCCATCCGTTGGAATGGGTATCCTCCTAAGATTGGTTCTCCAAAATTGTCGGACGAGCTAGAAAAGCAAGTCAAGAAGATGATGGCTGATGGAATCCAGGACGTGGAGGACCTTCTTACCTTTGAGAAGCTTGCCGAGGCGGGAATAGGTACCGCCCGAATCTCTGGACTCCCCATCCCTTCTACGTTCGTCTCTGGGATCCGGGTGGTCCTGTCCTCCGAGGTGAGTACCTTAAGGGTCAACGCCGCCCGGTGCTAACCCCTTGTGTTTCTTTGTTTCAGGTCCTCCCCCAACTCAAGCCCAAATGAATATAATCACGAGAAGCTTCTGAAGACGAGGAAAGGCAAAGGTGACGCCGCCGATGCTGCGCTTGCAAAAGCCAAGGCTGCCCAAGCCTCCGAATCTAATTCTTCTGCCTCCCAGGCCAATCGTCGCACGGTTGAGGCGGAGCAACACCTGATTGCCACTGTGATGGCACAGGGGCCCACGGCCCCCGACGTTCTTCCCGGCGCCCCTCAGGTTGTGGCGCCTCTGCAGTCGGTCCAACCTAAGGGCGGGGAGAAAATCAAGGAAAAAAGGGCGAAAAGGCCCCGTAGTGGAGGAAACAGCCATCCCCCCTTTGAGACGTCCGGCTGGCGACATCTGGGAGGAAATCGCCTCTCTGGACGGGGTGGAACTACCAGCCCGGACGTCCTCGGAAGCCACCAGCGCTGCCCTGGTGGCTGCCCTTCAGGTATGTCATACTGAACGTCGAACAACTGAATATGAGCTTCCGGAGGTTTGTAGCCTTATGCACTTGCTCTTTTTTTGCAGACCGGGCTTTGTGTGCTCCAAGTTGAGGCTGCCAAGGACGCGGACGCCCTGCAGACCAAGAACAAAGCAGAGGCCACTCTAAAGAAGGTGCGTGAAGCCGCTCGTCTCCATGAGAAGGAGGTTGCGGCGAAGGAGAAGGAGTTGCAGGCCGCCCTGAATGTGGCTCGTGAGTCGGCTGAGCAGGTTACTGCCTTTGAAAAGGCCGGGTTTAAGCTCGTCCCAGTCCTTCCCGCCCCCAAGGACGAGGCTCCTCAATGGCTCGTCGATATCTCTGGCTATGAAAATACCGGGGCATTCATGATTGGTGCCCAGAGGTACTGTGGGGGTGCGTTTGGAGACGTATTCTCGGCCGAGCTGAAGAAGCAGAAGCCGAAGGACCGCCTGACATTCAGGGTCCGGGTGCTCGAGAGTGCTCCCCTGTCCGACAAATTCTTATATGACGTCGGGGACTGCTCCTTTGCCCTGGGCTATAATGAGGGGGTGAAGGCCACACTGCCCATCTTCGCCGCGCTGCAAGGTCCTGGTTTCAATTCGGCCCTGCATACCGAGGACACTGAGCTGATCTAGGCTTTGGGCAAGCTGGAGAGAGATCGGCGTCGTGAGGAGGCCAAGGCAAAAGGTGAAGTTCCGGAACCCCCCTCCCCCGAGCCGGAGCTCGAAGAGGAGGAACCCGCTTAGGAAGACGCTTGGCCTGATCCCCCCCCCCCCTTTTGTTGATGTAATTAATCTTCCTTTATTTTTAGTATGATTGCAAATTCCAGCTAGTAGCGCTGAGGAATACAACCACATTTTGCTCCACGATTGCCTCTACGTTCGTGTCCTTTTGCTTTGTCATTTCCTTTTTGTTTTATAACTGTGTGTGCGACCCTTCTCTGACGCCGTACGCAGTCTTTCTTTGGTATGCAAAAGGTCGTCTCCGATGATACTGGCATCTCTGTTGGGCATCACTTGGCCTCACATCCTATATTCTGTTAAGTATGTGCGGACGAGCGTACCCACCTGATGCTTGTATCCAGCGATGATGTTCGTCCATCGTTGAGCTTGGTGTCACTTAGCATCATACCTTGGTGTCACTTAGCATCATATTTTGTTAAGTACGCGGGTACGAACGTAATTGTGTGATGCCCACATTTAGTGGCGACGTCCGTCCGCTGTTGACCTTGGTACTTTTTAACCTTATATTTGTACTTTCGTGCCAAGTGCTACAGTCCGAATTCCCTCCGAGACGCTCGTCCGCCCATCTTTGCACTCCCCCTGGTATCGTTGGTCCTGATGTCCTTGCTAAATATGCGGAGATGAACGTAATCATCTGATCCTTTCATCAAGTGACGACGTTCGTCCATCGTTGGGACCAATGAGCCCATTATCCACACCGTACTCTTTGGGTGAGCATCAAGCGTTCGGTGGTGCGCGTACTCAGGGCACCACTGGTGTCGTCGGCGGGCTTATGTAAGACGTGCGTCTCGTTATACCCTCGCCGAAGCTCATTCTCAGGATGGGCCCTGAGATGCCTTGGCACAATTAGAGGGTGCTAAGATCGAGGCGCCTTTAATACCGCGGGATATACCAGTATTAAGGCGCCACATGTCTAGCTGTGATTGGCGAAGCTCTACGGTCGTTGCTTATAAGTACCCAGAACCACGCGGATCAACCATTTGCTTCCTCTTTGGTCCTTACGCAGTGCGATTGTTTTCTCTCTCTAGCTATTCCCCGCACTGCGTCAATCTCCGAGACCTACAGGTACCGAACATCATCGTGTCTTCTTCTAGGTTGGAGTCCCATGTAATTGACCCAAGGACCCGAGTTAGCTCATCGTCCGCCGAGGATAGGTTTGATGACGGGTGCTCCTTCGGCGATGACTTGGAGTTCTATGAGCGGGGAATGCCACCTCGGCCTCCCCGTCATCACCTTAATTTCTCCTGCATTCGGCGTCAACGCCAGCGCTAGTTGAATGCTGACAAATTAAACGGATGATCAGCCAATGGTTTTATCCCCTAAGGATCTACGACGACCGTCGTCTGCGCAATCCCATGCGCCATCTGCCCGGCTATGTGGTAGTCCACCTAGATCCTGTCATAGCCGGCCTCTTCTTTCCCTTTCATTCTTTCCATATGGAACTTTTTAGGGACCTT